TACAAAAGAGAGTGTGGCATGGCTTTAATAGAAACAACTTGAGAACAGATTTTCAGTAATTACAATTATCTACTACCAGTCAAATAGTAGTTTACCATCTGTTCTTAAGAACTGAAAAGATGAAGCGTATTTTTTTTTCTTTCTTCAAACTGATTTTAAAACAGGTAATGGAAGAAGGCTAAGTGAAGAGAATCTAAAATTCCATTATTAATGTGTAGATTTTAACTTACAGTACACAGTACATGTACATATATCTTATTCAGCATCTTCAATATTACAGATTATGAATGTTAAATAAGACACTTGACCATGGTAAAATAAATTGAAGTGAAGTAACTTTTATCTTTAACCAAATCAAACTTTGTGATGTTGTTTTATGGGTTCAGCTTGTGCATCGTTAAAAACTCAACCTGGACTGTACACTTTTAAGATTGGATATGAATGCCAAATTGTAAATTTGGAATAGAATAGATTTGAGGGGGTGGGATATCCGCACCCCCAACCCACACACCAATCTCAATATGCCACAACTTTCAGCTTGAATACTAGGACCTCACTGACACCAGCCACTTACTTAATTAGAGGGGTAACTCAATGGTCTCAACCGGCAGTGATAATCCACAACCAAGAGCGCTGAGAAAAATTTGAAATTCGATATTGTTGTGTAAAATATTTTCTTTAAAACACGTAAAAATGAATAAACGAATTTTCGTATATACGAATCTTTGTACATTGCTCCAGTTCAAATCGTAATTCAACCACAAAGTAAATACAAGATTTTTAGCTGTTTAACAAATTAACTTGAGATTTGTTTAACAAGTTGGTGGATTGTTTTTTTACCAAAATAAAAACACAGATGTGTAAACTGACCGCACTACATCATTGAAGCCGTCTGGTTGGAACATCAAGGTGTTAGTTCTTAATTTCACTTCAGGTTGGTCAGACGACATATGGTCAAAACATGGAGGTAGGCATCTCCCTCTATCCCTCATGGTGATAAAAAGACCAGTTAATAAATACCTCCAGATAATCAAATCTATTTCTTCTGTTCTGGTCATCAGATGATATTTAAGGTTTTCACCCCATCGGTGAGATACAGACACTTTTATCTCTTCAACAGTGCAATACCAATAGATTATACTATTTAGATATGCTAAAAGGTTTTCCTGTATAAAAAAAGCTCCTCATAATTGCTGTACCTTTTGTTTGCTTGCTTATCTCAACTGACTTCTTGTAGGTTTTCACATTTTCCCCAACAAAATCAGAAAACAGGATAATTGAAATTGGCATGTCAACCCTGACTTAAAGATACCTTCACACATACAAACTGTTTGATTTGATGATATATTTGTACTAAAAACATATTGAAACTAATTTATATATCACAAGTTTGCTTCAAATATCTCTCAAAACATTTTAATCCGAAGAAAACTACACCATGCCGTGAGAATCATGTGACTTGGTAGAGGAAGAAGCCATAGACTAAGTAAATTCATAGATTGCCCTCTGCCAACTTCTTTTTCCGCCAGTATTTTTCTTGTAAGATTGTCTGTTTATTCTTTCCATAAATGTATGCCAAAACTGTCATACTATTATTGGAAATAACTACAATGTATCCAATAAATACTTTCTTGGGAATGCATCTTTTAATATTTAAGCCAATTTTTACTTCATGCTTATTCAACTTTTTCTCACCAACCCCAGCCCTAATTTAGTGATAAACTGGAATATCTAAAGTAAAAATAGTTTAAAAAAATCATAGGCAAATTACATCCATTCTTAGTATTGCGACATTCTGTCCAGTGAAATTTGTTCCCTGTACCATTTTGTCCGGATTATCTGAACCTTATACATTCTATGTCCGACAGATTCAATTTGTGTTTGTTATTTTCTCATTCCACATTTCCAGATATTGATACCTATGATATTATTTTAATGTTGAAGACCATAAAATATGAAATATACATTAATTCTACTCTATTTAACAATAACAAAGGTCATAATAGATTAATAGTTGATGATGACCTTCATGTATCCTCATTTGAAAACAATAATGACAATATTGTCAAAAGAGGATTTAAAATCCTAATCTACAGAGGTCAAGCAAAGACTGGGTGGTCAGTTATAGTTTTAGGCAATTGTCAACAGGATATTTTGGACATTCTCTACTTCTAAAGACATAGGGACTTTACATATTAAGAAACATCGTTGACTTAGGTTTTATCTCCTGCCAAAATCCTCTTAACAAATCTTCTCAAACAAATAAACTAAATGTTTGCTCGACACTTAAGGCTGTGGACATCTCCGGCCCATTTTGATGTCCCAATAAAAACATTCCTCTATCTAAAAAATATACAATGTATTCTTGGTTGAAAGTTTACTTTTTTTAACAATCTAGTGCAAGTGAACATCTCAAAACAGAGCAAAATCTGTTTTGCAAATAAAACAATTCAAATGGTTGAGAACAAAATACAATTGAATATTCTAGGATAATCTTTAAAACCTAACCATATGTAGCAGTTAACAAATCAAAACTTTACAACAAAATCTATTAAGGTGTTTGCGTAACTGCATCATTCAAATAAAACTAGACTAGGCTGACATTTTTCATACAAAATTTTTTCAAAATAAAACTCCAATATATTCTTATCCTATGCATTCGTATTTATCAAAAGAGCCACATTGAAAACATCTAATCTGCCTAGAGAAGCAAATCATTTGTTTGTTTCAGAGATTTCTTTAAGCTGATGATCGTGATTTCATTTTTTAAAAAATCTCTGGCAAATTACAATATTGTGAAAGTTGAATCACTAAAATGAATATCAGTCCAAAAATTATTCATTTCCATTAAGTATTTAGAAAGATATGATGACGAAATGAATAAGACAGCACAAATCTGATTATCTACTGTTGATATTTTGGTTTTGTCTTCTTAATTAAATGTTAAATAATCAATTTTTGTACTTTCAGCATAGATTAAGACACGACAAATTAGATATTATCTGAAAAATGACGATAAGCAGTTTTAAACAAGTGTTCTTTTTTTAACAAAAAAGCTATTTGTTTTCTACAATGTCACCAAAAGAAAGGATACACCAACAACATTGAATCAAAATTAAGATACTTCACAGATTTTATTCATAATATCAAACCGGCCATGTAATATCTCTATTAATAGCATGGTCAATAAAATATGTCAGTTAGTTCACCTTTAATCAAGATTAACCAGAGCATGAAAAAGATGGGATCAACCAGTTTATATTTCATTACATGTCACAGTGTATTTCACTCTATAAATATAGGTCTGTCACTTGTCTCTATAAAATAAAATCACCCTCAGTTCTCTCCAATATTCATTTGAACATGGATTTACACCACTAATATCTTGATGTTAAAACTCTTAATGCATGCAAGTAGTCTGACCTCATTCCCTATATCTTAATTCAGTAAAAAAAAAAACAATCTAACAGTACTGAATTTGTATCCAAACTTGTAATTACATCTAAGCCACTAAATATTAAAGTTAATCCCACTCATCAATCATTTCCTATTGATCAAGTAGCTTACATACTGGTATATGGTGTAATCACCACTTGGATTAACTAATATAATATTTTAAGGTCAATGCATGTCAATCATATGTCCCTTTCCTTCTATAATGTCAGTCAATTATAACTGTTTCCATTCATAATGAGATAACCCATAATTATGTTGATGTTGACTGACTGGAAGTGACTGATCTGTAATATATGCATCTAATATTTTTCCTCTCATGCTCTTTTTCATTCATGTGTCTGTGTCCTTCTGTAACCAACATTTATGTGTCTAAGATCTTTGTTCCCCAATGATTTTTATGTATGTGTCTACATCTGTATTCTGTAATCTTTACTATCTTTGTTAAATAATCTATATATTGTGTTTACTATTTTTGTTAAATAATCTATGTGTTCATGATCTTTCGAAAATAATGTACATGTACAGGTAGGTGATCTTTGTTCGACAATCTACAGTTCTACACTATGATCTTTGTTGAATAATCAATGGGTCTATGATCTTTGTTCATTAAAATATGTGTATGTGATCTTTTTTCTGTAACTTATCCTTGTGTCAATGTGTCTTTGTTCTGTAACTTAGTCTTGTGTCTATGATCTTTGTTCTGTATCTTATGTGCCTGTGATCTTTGATCTGTATCATGTGTCTGTGATCTTTGTTCTGTAAATTATTCCAGTGTCAATGATCTTTTTCTGTAACATACATGTACATGTTTGTGATATTTGCTATGTAACCTACAAGTTATTATTATGTAACCAGTGTTTTATGATTCTGAAAATCCAGGTGTATAAGATCTATGCAGTGTAATTTTTTAGATACTATTGTATATATATATACAACCAGTTTTCACTCTCCATGTTTGATCTTTTATTAGATACATGTACATTAAGTTTATCAACTGTGGTTATCTCAAAGGATACCCTTAGGTTCTTATTCAAAAAGTCAACATGTTCTCTGGGCTGATCTACGATAAGAAAACAAATATCTCTTGCCAAAAAGAAGAGCGAGATCATATGCATGTGTGCGTCAATCTGTCATATACGTCTTTATATGATTATGATAAAAATATATTGTAGTGTATCTTTGTAGTGGTAGAAATCACCATGATGACATTAGGTTGTGTCATAATATCCTTTATCTGAGATGTTTTTTTATTGACTTTTCAAATTTTGCAAAGACCTAAGGCCAAGTGTACTGATACAGTACTACTGTATAATGTAGTATATTATAACTGTTAATGTATTTACTGTTTATTTTTTTGTATTCAATTGACGTGAAACTGAGTAAGTTCATTTATACATTGCAGACATGTCTAGTTCAGATAAATTGTACTTTGAACTAAATAAACAAAACTGATACATGTCATTCAAAATGCATAATAATCAATCTTGAAACATTACAGCAAAAGCCAGGGTGTTTGTAATTTCTAAACCATATTTGGTACTTACCCAGCAGGATATGCGATAGTTCCAGTATTTGAATCACAAGTTAATCCAGCATTTGAAGAAAGAGTTAATCCTAAAACACGTTCTAAATTTACCTGCAATTAAATAAAATATAAATAATTATTACCTGGTGGAAAGTGTTTAAAGAGCTAGATTGTCAATTTCATATGATTTTATTTTTAAAAAAAAAAACAATTATAATTTTGAACTTGTTTAAGCACATGTAACAAAAAATATTTACATGGAAGTAGTAGGTACCACTGTTTCAACCAAAATATTGAAATTACTAGAAACAAATGTCCCCATTTAATCCATCAGATCAGAACTGTAACTTGTAAAAGCGGGTCAATATTTGGCATATTTTGATCACTTCGAGTTGGCAATATTTCTTTTTCAAAGAATATGACAATTTTTAGCATTATTACAAATTTAACTGAATACTATTTATTGAATTTTAAGGTTAAATTGGCTGACAGGTAACATCAGCTGGTCATTTTCACTGCCAGTCAGTTAAGGCAGGCAAATATAACTGAGATGGCAGCCCTTTATCGATTTAAGACTGCAATTGTTTTTTTCTATTGCATCAGTATGAAATTATTAGTACTTCAATTACCAAATACCAAATAAGAGAGAGAGAGAAATGAGGTTTAATGTCCACTCAACACAAACTAGGTCATTTCGGGACTAACATATGGTTCAATTTTATTTCAATAACTCGCTTGCACGTAGGGATCTATAGCAGTGGGAGTAAACCGGGGGACCCGGAGAAAACCCACGAGGTTGGACAGGCGACCCTACTCCTTGTGGCGTACAATCGGGTAATCGAAACCATGCCAGTTGACCCATCTCAATGACAGACCTTATAATACAACGCGCACGCTCTAACCATTCGGCCATCCAACCCCCCAAAATACCCATAAGAGAAACATGACACCAAATACATATGTCATAATATGGTTGATTTATAAAGAACAGCTTGTGCTAATATAATATAAATATTAGTGTTTTTCAGTGAATGAGAGAATAAAAAAACATGAATTTGATAAGTTTCTTATTGACATTATTATTAAACATATTATACAACAATATAAATAATGTAAAAGTTGGGTTATTATCTGTTTATTGAACAGGTGTTCATGTAGATGTAGATATATTATTAATAGGATTAAAGTATTCTAGTTTAATACGAGTCTATATTGACATAAGTAATGACATAGACTGGTTTATATAACATTGCCCTTGTTTGAGAATGACTGACCTATTCACTGTCACATCGTTCAATAAAATAGATTTTTATAATTACATGTAGGCACAATCTATGCTTTTATCATTTTTATTTGATTAAAGTGTTGACTATATCTTACTAGACCGTGTTGAGATTACGATCCTATCATAATTCTTTTGGTTTAAAGGGATAAAAAGTGACTTAAATCAATTTTGTGGATATAAGTTCAATACATAAACTGGTAGAGCAAAGATAGCAGCCTTATTCTTTTAATTTAAATGTATACCGGTGCATTTATTCTACTAAATAAATAAACTGGAAGATCAAGACTAGGGGACTTATTCTTTTAATTAATGAATAGTTTTTCTAATCCATTTTCACAAAAAATAATCGGTTTGCTTTTTCACCCCAATCAATATATAAACTGGAAGATCAAGACATGGGGACTTATTCTTTTATTGAATGTCTAGTTGTCTTTATAAGACATTCATTTTTTTTTTCTACTCAATTACACAAAAGTTGTTCGGTTTGCTTTTTTTTACCCTAAAACTGTTTCTTTCTCTAATTCCAGGCTTTGATAAATTATGTAAAATATGTGCAAAATGAAACGAAAAAAGACGGTAATAACAACATGGCATTTAAAATCAGTGTAACTCACAGCCATTTCCTCAGTTGACTAACATCTCTATATAAACAGACTAGAAGACGAGTGTAAACTCATTGGCCTCTTATTTGAAAGAAAATCCATGAGTGTCAAGTAGAGATATTCAAAGGATGCTCGTGAAATTATTCAGTCGCATCATATATTCAAGCTTATGAAGAAGAAAAAAAAAATTAATACAGTAACAACAAAACTCATGAATCGTATTTTAAGAGGGAGAAAAAAAAAATGGCGTTTAACATAAGTCCACTCATCACACATTAGGCCACTTTGGGACTAACATATGGTTCAATTTTATTTCAATAATTCACTTGTGCATAGGGGTCTTTAGCAGTGGGAGGAAACCAGAGGACCAGGAGAAAACCCACGAGGTTGGGTCTTGACGATTTAATAATATTCCATCCAGATATGTAAGCTGTGTTTATTTTGTGTTCTGTTTCATTGCAAAATCCTGTTCTCCAGATAAAAATATATTCTGCCCTCTCTGTCATTTATCTTTTATGGACATCCTGTAGCCCTTTTAAATTAATCTTATCTTTATTTATTGTTGAGACTGTCTATGGTGAATTATTATATAATATAATATTGTCATGTTTACCTGTTAAATATTGCCGTATTCTGTCAGTATATATGTCACTCTACTTGTACAGGTGTCACATACATGTAATATAGTATACCGGCACACATTGACATATTCACTCTAGTCTCTATTCTTAGTTCTTACAGACTATTATAACATATACTTTATACCTATAATCTGAAGGTCAGCTATTTGACCCTGTCTTTTGATGTTTTGTAAACCTCCTTTTACTAAAGTTTAGTTTAATAAAAAAAAACTGGTTTAAGTAGCTTTGAAATTTTATGAATGAATAAAATGAAATGAAGTTTAATGTCCTACTTTTCTGCACCAACTGGGTTAATGTTGACAAGGATATTTTATGAATAATACTTGAAACATTTCTTAAATTAGTTCCTTTCACAAATTGTTTTTGATTTAACCCCTTGTATGTTTGAATTTTTATGGTTTATGTTCATCAACCTATTCAATGCCATCCATCCATCCATATAGATAAAAGTGTTTTTTTATGACTGATAACCAGTGCTTTCCCTAAGATTAATTTAAAAGGCTACATGATGATATCCATAAAGAATAAACAACAGAGAGGTCAGTATATATTTTCTGGAGAACAGGATTTTGCAACCATACGGAAAACCAAATAAACACAGGTTACTACATGTACATGTATGTTTTCTAAAAAGATATGTTCCTTTGAGAGTCTGGACTTATATCATAAGTCACTGGCTCGCTAACCTGTGTTCCCCAAGAAAGTACCTCTGGATTTTCTAGTGGAGTTTCCTCCTTGTCAGTGGTGCAAGACGGACAGCCTCGCAAGGAACAGCACCTAATATTTCAAATTGGACAAAAATACGAGGTCCAGTAACGAATACACATTGTCATGTACGTAAAAGAGAGAGAGAAATGGGGTTCAAAGTCTACTCAACACAAACCCGGTCTTTTCGGGACTAACGTATGGTACAATACAGATCTACAAGCCTGTCCAGCCTCTGCTTCTCTTGTTTTACAGAGGTTTGCCGTTCCCCCTCCCTATTACCCATATGCTACAATTCTATTTCAGTAATTCGCTTGCACGTAGGGATCGTTAGCAGTGAGAGAAAACCATAACAAAAGAGTACACCCATTCAACCACGGTCCATATAATAATGAAACAAAGTTTATTCAGAACATAGTGTCTAAGTAATAACCTCACAAAAACAATGACATGCTTGACATGTTCTTTTTAAATCCTTTTCTCCATCCTTTTTAAAGGTTACCCTAGGATTTCTACTTTTGTTATAACACTGGAGTATCATGTTTGTACTTAGATAAAATAGATTGCCCCATTGTAAGCTTTCATTGTGTTGTTAATACCCTGAGTGGGGGTCAATCTTCGGGTATTCATTTGACGCATAAGAATAAGAACTACCCAATTAAAAGACAAACGCCACAGATTTCGAGTATTTGCATAATTTACCATTACACATGGTCAAGTTGTTTTCATACCAGGCTCAAGTGATTGACCGTATGTTATGAGTAATGTAAAGTGTTGATAGGCCAGTCAAACAACTATCTTCAAAAACCAAAACTTGAACTGGGTATAGCTCTATATATCTGACAAAAACACAGCTTGCCAGTAGTGAAATGGCCCAAACAAATGATTCTTTTACTTTTTCTTCAATCTAAATGGAATCAATCTGATAATTGACCTTGAAGCTGGATCAACAATAGTGCTGGCACGATATATTGCTGAATCGATGTACATGTATCGTGATTCACTGTCTCATGATTCGCATATTGAATCATGGGATGCTGAATTGATGTATCATGATTCTTTTTTACTTTTGCTTCTGTAAAGTGACCTTTCACTGTTAATTATCCATGCTACTCATTATCCATATATGTAGGTACACAAACAATAATTTTGTTCATTTTGCCAAAACAAAAATTTCAATCTGTTAAGAAATCAAGTTATACTTCAGCTTGACCAGCAAGGCAGGTACCAGTAAAAGGTTGGTTTACCCTAAGATCCACTACATGTAGGTCTACTGCAATAATTCTGTGATTTCCAGACCAGGAAAGTGATGATTGAATTCTTGTTGCCTGATGCCAAATGTTACCTGTCCAAGACACAGAGGTGGACTGAGAAGGAGCCTGTGAGTATGGTAGGCTCTGGGCTAGTGCTGGGTTTTGTACGATACATATTGCGATTCAGGTGCTATCATACAATTCGTATCACGATTCATAATCAGGTCAATATTTACCAAGAAAACAACAGGACAAATGAATAATTGATATTTTTAGTCCTGCCGTATGTCAAAGAAATAAAACTGTTTTATATTCCGATATTGATGTAGATCAAAATAAGGACCAAAACGATTTAAGAGTGTTTGTGTACCTATGGGTAATGTGTTGTGGATAATAAAGAGTGACAGGTTACTTACTGAAGCGACAAAAAAAAACCCAACATACATTGATTCAGCATCTCAGGATTCAATACGCGAATCGCAAGACAGTGAATTGTGATACATCATGCCAACACTACTCTGGGCCTCTAAAGTAGTTAATGTTCTCACATAGTTTGAGGGATGTCTTTTTATTTTGGCTGCCCTTTCTAATCTTGAATGGTACATAGATTGCCACACGCTAAATT